TTCAATATTTGTTTTTGTCTCACTGCTGTCTTGACACTATTTACTTTAAGTATAGTAATCATCATCACAGAGACTTATTTTTCATGAAAGAGTCACTTAACAAGAACAGAAAGTTTAACCTGTGCAGGAAATTACTGACATTTCTTAGACTTGCTTGGTTTAGGCTTCTCCAAGGTTTTTATTTAAAATTACTTTAAGGTAGGAAAGGTATACCTGGAAATTTTCTGAAGCTCAGATTTAATTTCTAAATCTATTTCAAAAAGGACAGTGATGGCTTTTTATATCCAAACATTTGGAGGTTCCATACGTGTTAAACTAGTTTATCCTACTTCTGCAAACAGAACACATCCAGTCCTGTAACTTTGAGGACCTGTTGACAGTCACAATTCTACGATGGTTTAATAATTCATTTTGTTTTATGTTATAATCTTTGAATTTATAGATCTCAGGAAAAGGGTCTTGTGGATCTTCAAGTTGGAGAGCAGCTAAAGAGTCTTCCAGGAAAAACACCAGCACATTGGATGAAGAAGGGCTTGAAATTGTCTGTCGCCATGGAGTCCTCCTTGGAGCACTAAACATGTATCGTGGGGAGATTTTTGCCTACCCTCTTTTCCTTCAAAGGACGTTAGTGGGAAATGTCCCAGGAAACATCACATTCCTTTGCTCTGATGTGGCATGCAAATATTTCCCTTATTTATCCAAGGTGGCTCAGCAGTGCCCTGACATGAGGAAGCTCCTGTCCTTGCGTCCTTTCCTGTCTGTAATGCATGCAGAAGCTCACACTTGGAAATGCAAGGTACATTGAAACTTTAATCACTAAGTTAGTAGTCATTGGGTAATTTAGAAATAACATTTATTGTACACACTTCTTATTAGATCAAATGGGGAGGCGCATTTCCAGTTCAAGTATCAGTAGCAACATTTCAGATCATTTCATTGGGAGTCAGTCTGGAACTGACTTCACTTTGACTATCAGTGGAGTCCAGACTGAAGACGTGGGAGTTTATTACTGTCACCAGGGTGGTCACAGCTTCCCATTCACACAGTGATACAACGTCGTACAAAAACTTCCCTCAGCTGGAGAGGAACTGATCTGAATCACCAGCTGCACCAAAACCATAACACTAGATATTTCAAAAACATAACCACACTGTAATGTAATGTATGTAAATGTACTTTAATTAGAATGAAACTCATGCAGTTAAAAGTTGTAAAGTTACATTTTGCTGAAACACACTGAGAGGTTACAATAATAAGAAATGTCATTTTGTAAGTTTTCCTTTGTTTTAGGTGAGTATTTTATTTAAATTCAATGCACCTCCATGTGGATTTGTAAAATGTGAAATCACTTTCATATTTTGTTAATTTGATATATTCTGTGTTGTTGTTTTTTTGCTAATGAGTCATAAATATCATAAAGCCTAAAATATTTTTTGTTTAAACTTTGGTAGATGTATTGACAGGACTGAGTATATTGTCTTCATGCAAATAAAACACTGATGAAATAGGTGTGATGGAAATTTGATATTTTTTTTATATATATTTTGAAATTTGATAGGGCATGCAAGCTGAAGATCTATACAAAGAGGACAAAGTGATAAAATAGCCATCAAAAGGGGCACTAGTGACAGGAAACAACTGGGACACACACACACCGGGTGAGTCACAATTTCTCACAGAAAAATAAAATCTTAAGCACATTGAAGGTAAAATAACAAAGTAATACTATATTAATTTATTAGTAAATGCTGATGAGTTGAACAGCCTACATTGGTGATGAATGATAACCACAAAGAGTTTAGGAAACTGCCAAAGTAGCTGTTAGTAAATTTAACCCCAGCAGGGGATAATATTGCTACATGATATGTTGAAAACAGCCCAACAGAGCGGCAGGTATTGCATATAAGGTATCATAATAATGAATTTTGATGACATAGTTGTTAAACACTTATTTCAGTTATCAGAGCACTGAATGAGTGACCCCCATGTCACACACACACACACACACACACATAAAGTACGCACACACTTTCATCAAATAGATTGAACATTTCAACATGTTTAAACTAACCACCTATGAACATGTATCACTACAAGTTCAATGATTAAAAATATCTTAGTGCAAATCGCATAAATTTCTCCATCACAGCTTCTCACCATTCATCCATATCTCATTATAATCCCATTGTCTTGTCTGGTTTGCCAGTTAATAAAAAAGAGCCAAACTGGGACAGTTAATGAGAAAGGTACCTCAGCCTCTCACTGGATCTCAGCTTTTTCAGCTATTTCCAGTTAAAATAAAATATGAACACACATCAGCACCATTAACCTTCATAACCAAAGATGGCAGAGCAGGACAGAGAGGGCAGATGTGAAGAACAACATGTAGCACAGACTTACTGCTTCTGTTAAAATGGCTTCCTTTCACACCAGCTCCTACCTGCTTTAGGATAACAGATAAACACTGTCTGGTTGTACTGACAAAACTATCAGATGTGTTCTGTGCATGACCCTTAATGCCTTTTTTTATATTCCCCTGATCTTATAAAATACTAGTTATCTGACCCTGACGTAAACCTCTCTAATGGAATGTAATTATTAAAACCAAAGACAGTAGTTATTCCTGTAATTGGACACCACTGATGAGATGAATAGGTTCAATTCAATTTCAATTCAATTTTATTTATATAGCGCCCAATCACAACAACAGTTATCTCACAGTGCTTTTCATAAAAGAGCAGATCTAGACCGTACTCTGTGATGATATTTACAGAAGCCCAACAGTTCCCACCAAGAGCAAGCATTAGGCGACGGAGGCAGAAACCTCGAGCAGAACCATGGCTCAGGGTGGGCGGCCATCTGCCTCGACCGGTTGGGGTGAAGGAGAGAGAGCGAGAGAGAGAGAGAGGGAGACGGCAGGAGAGGAACAGAGAGAAAAGAGAGGGATGGAAGGAGAGAGAGGGGAGGGAGGCAGCCTACACAATATACACAATATACACACACAGAGGTACAGACAGTAAAGGTGATGTTGCTATAGACTAAATGAAAAATGGTACAGATATTTATAGTAGTGTTAATGGTAACAGTCGTAATGTTAATGATTATAATAACAATAATAATAATAGGACTAGTAACAATAGTTGTTGCAGCAGAGGGTGTCAAGCAGGAAGACGGAGGCAGCAGGTGACCCGCAGCCACAGATCCAGACTCCACAGCTCCAGAGCCAGAAAACCTGCAGGAAGTGATAAGAGGAGAGAGGAGAGGGACGAGAAAGCACAAGACTACCAGAAAGGGGAGAAGAGCTGAAGAGTCTTAATGGACTTTTTCGAGCAGCCTGATAATAAGGAATTGCAGTAATCCAGCCTAGAAGTAACAAATGCATGGACTAGTTTTTCTGCATCATTTTTAGACAGGATATTCCTGAGTTTCGCAATATTACGTAGGTGAAAAAAGGCGGTCCTTGAAATTTGCTTAATGTGAGATTTAAACGACATGTCCTGATCAAAGATAACTCCAAGATTCCTCACAGTGGTGCTGGAGGCCAGGGCGATGCCATCAAGGGAAACTATATCTTTAGATAATGCTTCACGGAGGTGCTTAGGCCCCAGAGCAATAACTTCAGTTTTATCTGAGTTTAACATTAGAAAATCACAGGTCATCCAGGTTTTATCATCCTAAAGGCACATTTGAAGTTTAGCTAACTGATGAGTTTCATCTGGTTTGATCGATAGATATAACTGAGTATCATCTGCATAACCAATGAAAGCTTATGGAATATTTCCTGATAATATTGCCTAAAGGAAGCATATATAAAGTGAAGAGGATTGGTCCGAGGACAGATCCTTGTGGAACTCCATGACTAACTTTGGCATGCATGGAGAACTCATCGTTAACATATACAAACTGAAATCGATCTGATAGATAGGACTTAAACCAGCTTAGAGCGGTTCCTGTAATGCCAATAAAATGTTCCAGTCTCTGCAATAGGATCTGACGGTCAATGGTATCAAATGCAGCACTAAGATCTAATAAAACCAGTAAAGCCACTGGAATGGATGGTTGCCATACATGCCCAGTGGGGTCAGGAGTGTGTGTGGCCTCTCTCTCTCTCTCCTCCTTGTAGAGGAAGAGATGATTGTGGTAACTGGAGGCACCTGGGCCCAGTTCCCTTGAGTGTAGGCTATCTGTAAATCTGTCTTCTTATTCTGCAGGAGGCTGCTGTTGAGGCCAGGTCAGACCTCTCTGCGGCCCGGCTCCCCGGTTTTCCCCTTCAGTTTGGTTTTCTTTGGTTTTGGACTGCTGCTTTGTGGTATTTACCTTGTTTTTGCCTAATACAACACCTTCACACATACACATTCATGCAACCATCATCCTGCAATGACACTACTGAACCCACACACTCATACCTCATACTTTAATTATGTTAGTTCCAAATATCTCTTAATATGGCTTATTTTTGTTAAATAAACATATGTTGTTAATCGTTTACCATGGTGTGTCTCCCTTTTGTTGTGGGCTTCTGAGCCAGGTCATAACAAGATGCTGATTTAAGACAAATATGGAGTGGTCTCTTATTTTGTTCCTGAGCTGTCTATGTATGTATGTATTTGTTATATATATATAATTTTTTTTTTTCAAACTGAAGTCACACAGTTTAGTTTACAGTGAGCTTGTGTTTGTAGGAAAACATTATGTTACAGTATGTTTTAGAATCTCATTGCTGATACTGAAACTGTGATGATCAGGTGGGATTCAAACCCAGGCCGCTGCAGTAAGGACTCAGCCTTGTTCATGGGGCACAACCTCTACCAACTGTTACTTTCAAAATAACAGAAATGACAACAACTAATTTGATAAACTGGTCTTTATTGTGTAGTAATAATCACTTTATTCATGAAACATGTGATTAGAGAGTGACTGAAGGAAAGAAAGAGACACAGAGAGAGTTACAGAGTTCAGAGAGCAGAGTAAAACCAGTAGCAGAGTCCCAGTGAGTCAGGTCAGGACTGGGAACACTGGTCTCTCCTCAGTGTCTCTGAGACCAGAGCCTGGGAGCCCTGGGTGGCCTCACAGGTCACAGAGCCCACCTTCCTCCACTGGTCTGCAGGGAGCCTCAGGGTGCTGCTCCAGCTGTAGCGGCCGTCCTTCTCCAGCACCCCGGGGCTCCTGCTCTCCTCCCAGCTGCTGCTGCTGCTGCTGCTGCCGTCCACCTTCCAGGCCAGACTCCAGTCTGAGGGGAAGCCCTTGTTGGCCAGGCACATGAGCGTGGCCTTCCCCTGCTGCAGCTCCTCACTGGAGGGGGGCAGCACCGTCAGGGTGGGACGGACATCACCTAGGAGACACCAATCAGCTTAGAGGACACCTTTACTGTGTGAGAGCTGATTTTCTCCTTTAAGGAGTTTCTGTCAGATGGTTTTTCTGCTCCACCAGTCACTCACTCACACATTGTTTCACTTCCCTTTAAGAAGCCTCTCATGCAAATCAGCACAGAGAGAATCATCATACAGAACGACCTGAAATATATCAAACTACACTGGAAATAAATAACAAACTTTCTTATCAAGATCATACGTATCATACTTACTCAACATCATACTTAACAATACGATAATTTATTCAGTGGAAACCAAAACAGAAATGAACTGACCACAAGCAAATATTCTTCATCTGGATTTCAATCATCACCAAAGTGTTTCTTCACTTACATTAACATCTATAATGATGAGTTGAAAATCTAGATACAATTCTATCACGCAGGTATCAATCCTCCGCTGTATTACTTCACTTACTGACAGATATACTGACCACTGTGTTAACTTACGAAAATTAGTGCCAGTTGTCCTTTCACGTTAAATGTGGAAATATTGTATTCTTTTTCCAAAGACATAACAATATGCAAAATTTTGAAATACCCATCTTTATCTTCACTTCAATTTTACCTGAAGAAAGTGAATTGTATTTAACCGTAACAACAGTTAATATTGTGGTAGAAAAGGTTAAACATTTTTACATTAAGATTAAAGTTTTATATTTTGTGGTATGGTAAAGGAAGAGAAATAAAAACGTGAACAATAAAAGTTTTTATAATAAAAACAAGATCAATATATCTGCCTCAAACTTTCAAAAGCTAAATTTAAAGGAGGACTTGATAATATTGTATTTAGTATTTGAGCAGAAACTTACTTCCAACATCCAGTCCGGTTCCTCCACCAAAGGTGCACCACAGTGATACAAACTACTGTAGAGAGACACGGCTCTCTGACTTTGACGGGAACAAACTCACCAATATGAGTCTCTGACTGTATGATTTTATCAGCCCTATATGAAATGTGAAAATGAGACATAATATAGGGTAGGTGGCACATAGATAAGATGCTTGCCTTTGGTGTGCGAGACCTGGGTTCAATTCCCACTGTGAAACATCCACCATTTGTGTCCCTGAGCAAGACACTTAACTCCTCTTTGCTCCAGAGGCATGCAACCTCTGATATGTATAGCAATTGTAAGTCACTTTGGATAAAAGCGTCAGCTAAATGAATAAATGTTTCCAGAATGCATGTTGAATTTTATGTATATTTGAAATTTCATTTTCTCTGGCAGTTCATTTGAATAAGACCTAGGGCACTTTGAAACAGAATACACCTAGAAGCATGAAACTAAAATCATGTAAAATAGGTTTAAAACATTACTAATTAATACTCAGATATATTGATTGATCCATTGATAAACAGCATCGTCAGAGTAATCCAAGTCCCTGTTGGAGTCAGTCAGAGCATTTCCATAGAGAGCCACTTTGCATCAGCAGCACCATGCTCCAGTGCTCTGAGAGAGTTTATAGTCCTGAGAGTTGAACACTGGATGACTGACAGCTGTCCTTCATGACAACAGAAGCCACAGAAATCCTCCTCATCAAAAACATGACTTTGATCTGCGTCCTCATCTGGACTCTCCTCTGCTGCTGCTTCACAGGTAAAGTCCAGAGAATCAAACTCCTCTCCTCTATGAACATCCGTCCCTCTGAAATGAGGCCCACAAAACCATGACGCTGTTTTATGTTTTTGTCTCTGTATCCTCAGAGTCCAGAGGCCAGGTCACAGTGACTCAGCCTGGAGCAGTGAGCTCTGCTCTGGGAGGCTCTGTCTCCATCAGATGTACGACCAGTCAGAATGTTTACAATTCTAACTGGTTACACTGGTACCAACAGAGAGCTGGAGAAACTCCTAAACTCCTCATTTACACTGCTAGCACTCGAGAATCAGGGATTCCAGATCGTTTTACAGGCAGTGGATCAAACTCTGACTTCACTCTGACCATCAGTGGAGTCCAGACTGAAGATGCAGCAGTTTACTACTGTCAGAGTGAACATCTTATCAACAGTCAGTATGTGTTCACACAGTGAAAAAGCGTCGTACAAAAACCTCCCTCAGTCAGACTGAACAGAAACTGAACTGACTGCTGCAGCTGGAAGCTACTGCAGAGACTGATACACTTCACTGAGGACACACACACACACACACGTCATCTATGAGGTTGAAGATTTCACAACTTTTACTTTACACCAATGAACATGTAGGAAAAAATATTACAAAAAAATATGAAATCAAATTACTTTGTCCATCACAGGTTGTACCCCGCCTTTCGCCCGATGTCAGCTGGGATTGGCTCCAGCCCCCATGACCCTGTACGGAGGATTAGCGGTTGATGATGGATGGATGATCACGTTGGCTTCAAAGTTAAAATATTCCATGACAGCTGGGTGAACTCCATCTGCTGAAGAAGATCATGTCATAAAAACAGTAATGTAACTGATGATGACTTCCATGTTTTCTGGTTGGAGTTTCTCGAGGAAGCTCTCTGAGATCATCTGCCTCAGAATCCCCTCAAACACCCAACACTACTTTACTTGAAGAAATTTCCACCTAAAGATGTCAAACCTACATTTATATTAATGTCACTAATCATTGTCTAAAATCCCTATTACATAAAAATGACAAGATTTCAGTATCGTCTACATGTAAATATGTAAATATGTAGATCAACGCTCTCAGCACTGAGGGGGAAACACCATGATATGTTGAGGACAGCTACAGCTCACTGACTCTGTGTGTTTGCATATGTGTCCTGCCTCTCTGCTCCCAGCCGTTAAGAGGCCAGTGTTGATCAGTGGCTGTCCAGGCCTTTCAGAGCCACTGACACGCCGGCAGCACAATGATGATGTCACTGATTCTACTGCTGGCCACCCTGGGGCACCTTGTTCAGGGTGAGACTCTCTTCTGAAAACTTTGCTTCAGGATGCAACCAGGTTCACCACAATGATGTTCTGCTGTGATGGAGAAACACTGAAACAAGCAGCATTTACCTTCTTCCATCTGTTCTCCATGTTAAAGAAATGAGACTCTTCTGTTTGGATGTTGATCATCTTTCTCCAAACTGGATTTGTCTCAATAACCCTTCTCCTCTTTTTCATGTTTTCCAGATTCATCAGGAGAAATCATCATGACTCAGTCTTCTGGATCTTAGTCTGTTGTTCCAGGACAGACTGTCTCTCTCAGATGTAAAGCCAGTTCAGGTGTTACTAATGACTTGCAGTGGTACCTTCAGAAACCTGGAGAAGCTCCTAAACTCCTGATTTATGATGCTCAAACCCGTCAGTCTGGAGTTTCAGATCGTTTCAGTGGGAGTCAGTCTGGAACTGACTTCACTTTGACCATCAGAGGAGTCCAGACTGAAGATGCAGGAGTTTATTACTGTCAGCAGGATTACAGCCGTCCGTTCACACAGTGATACAACGTCGTACAAAAACCTCCTTTAGCTGGAGAGGAACTGATCTGAATCAACAGCTGTGGAGTTATAGAAACACTTTAGTAATTTACTGACAATGAAGTCAAACACATTAAAACTAGTTTTGATCTGACATGAATTTTCATGTTTCCTTTATAGATTACATTTCAAATAAAATAGATTTAAAAGTTTTATATTGAAGTCACACAGTTTAGTTTTCAACAAACTTAAACACACATGTTGTATTTTGAGATCATACTACTGATTCTGATACTGTTATGATATAATGTGCTGATAATAACTTACCTCATAATTCAAATGAAATAAATTCATCATAGACTTTTTAGTTTAATCAGATTCATGAAACTTTCAGGACATTTCTAAACCCATTTCAACATGAGAGTTTCTACCAATAGCACATCTTGTAAATCTGATTTATCTTGAGCTAGTTTAAAAATTAGCTTTGTCACTAAGAATCTAATTTGCAGTTTGTGTAACGAAGCAGTTTCTGACATCTAGTTTTAAGGAATCTTGAACAAATAATGTCTTGGTTGAATCTGCCGACACTTCCCAGAGAGTATCAGTATCAGAACTGACCATCAGTGGAGTCCAGACTGAAGATGCAGCAGTTTACTACTGTCAGAGTGCACATAACATCAACAGTCAGTGGTTGTTCACACAGTGAAAAAGTGTCATACAAAAAACCTCCCTCAGTCAGACTGAACAGAAACTGAAGTGACTGCTGCAGCTGGAAGCTACTGCAGAGACTGATACACTTCACTGAGGACACACACACACAAACACACACACACACCTGGCAGCTCCATTTTGAGAAACGTGAATTTAGCGAAGCCAGCGGCCATAGTTAAGTGCATCCCTGGGGCCAGAGCGGGCGACATTGAGTCTTATTTGAAACTGCTGGCTAAGGATAAACGTAAATACAGTAAGATTGTTATTCACGTCGGCGGTAATGACTCCCGGTTACGCCAATCGGAGGTCACTAAGATTAATGTTGAGTCGGTGTGTACATATGCAAAAACAATGTCGGACACCGTAGTTTTCTCTGGACCCCTGCCAAATCTGACCAGTGATGACATGTATAGCCGCATGTCGTCATTCCGCCGCTGGTTGTCGAGGTGGTGTCCAGCAAACGATGTGGGCTTTGTTGATCATTGGCAGACTTTCTGGGGAAGACCTGGTCTGATCCGGAGAGACGGCATCCATCCCACTTGGGAAGGAGCAGCTCTCATTTCTAGAAATCTGGCCAAGTTTATTAGTGGACCAAATCCATGACAACCCAGAGTTGAGACCAGGAGGCAGAGTCGCAGTTTAACACACTTCTCTGCCCTTCTTTTTCAGCAGTTACCCACCCAAAATCCTACGCAGAGTCGCAGTCTAACACACTTCTCAGCTCCTCCATTTCAGGAGTTACTTAGTGAAAATCCTATAGTGACGGTGTCTGCCCCCCGACCATCGAAATTATTTAAAAAGGTAAACAGAAGAGGAGCTGTGCATAAAAACCTCATAAAAATTAAAACCACAAGAGCAATAGTGCAAATGAATAGGAGAGTTAAATGTGGACTCTTAAACATCAGATCTCTCTCTTCTAAAGGTGTACTAGTAAATGAACTAATATCAGATTATGAATTGATTTATTTTATATTACTGAAACCTGGCTGGGTGATGGAGAATATGTTAGCCTAAATGAATCCACCCCTCCCAGTCATATTAATACTCACATTTCTCGAGGCACAGGCCGAGGAGGTGGAGTTGCAGCTATCTTCGACTCTAGCCTACTAATCAGCTCTAAACCTAAACTAAACTATAACTAATTTGAAAGTCTTGTTCTTAGTCTTTCGCACCCAAGTTGGAAATCACTGCAACCAATTCTTTTTGTTATAGTGTACCGAGCACCTGGCCCGTACTCTGAATTCTTATCTGAATTTGCAGAGTTTTTGTCAACTTTAGTCCTTAAAACGGACAAAGTTATTATTGTAGGAGATTTTAATATTCATGTGGATGTTGAGAATGACAGCTTCAGTACTGCGTTTATCTCTTTGTTAGATTTCATTGGCTTCTCTCAGAGTGTTCATGAACCGACTCACTGTTTTAACCACACCCTCGACCTTGTTTTGGTGTATGGTATTGAAATTGAACATTTAGTGGTGTTCCCACAGAATCCCTCTTTATCCGACCACTGTTTGATAACTTTTGAGTTTGTATTGCTGAACTACTCGCCATTGGGCAAAAATTTCTATTCAAGATGTCTGTCTGATAGTGCCATAGCTAAATTTAAGGATGCGATTCCATCAGCTCTAAATACATTATCTAGTCACATAGTAACAGAGGACTATGCTAGTTTCAGTCCCTCCCAAATCGATCATCTTGTTGATAGTGCTGCAGGCTCGCTGCGAATGACACTCGACTCTGTAGCCCCTCTAAAAAAGAAAATACTAAAACAAAGACGGTTAGCTCCATGGTATAATACTGAAACTCGCAAATTAAAGCAAATATCACGGAAACTTGAGAGGAATTGGCGTTCCACCAAAGTGGAAAATTCTCGTTTAATTTGGCAAGATAGTCTTAAAACTTATAGGAAGGCCCTCCGTAATGCCAGAGCAGCATACTACTCGTCATTAATAGAGGAAAATAGGAACAACCCCAGGTTTCTTTTCAGCACTGTAGCCAGGCTGACAGAGAGTCACAGCTCTATTGAGCCAAGTATTCCCATAGCTCTCAGTAGTTACGATTTCATGAGCTTCTTTAATGATAAAATTCTAGCTATTAGAGACAAAATTCACCAAGACCTGCCCTCAATTGGCACCGACTTATCTCTTAACTCAGGAACCTTAGAAACAGCTGTAGAACCAGATACATGTTTAGACTGTTTTGCTTCCCTCAATCTTTACCAACTAACTTCAATAATTTCTTCATCTAAACCATCAACCTGCCTCTTAGACCCCATCCCGACTAGGCTGCTTAAAGATGTTTTACCCTTAGTCAGCACCTCTATACTAGATATGATCAATCTATCTTTATCAACAGGCTATGTACCACAGTACTTTAAAGTAGCTGTAATTAAACCTCTTCTGAAAAAGCCCAAACTTGATCCGGATGTTTTAGCCAACTATAGACCTATATCTAACCTTCCATTTCTCTCTAAGGTTCTGGAGAAAGCAGTTGCTAAACAGCTGTGTGACTTTCTACAGAGCAATAGTTTATTTGAGGATTTTCAGTCAGGATTTAGAGCTCATCATAGCACAGAGACAGCACTGGTGAAAATTACTAATGACCTCCTTATTGCATCAGACAAAGGACTTGTCTCTGTACTGGTTTTATTAGATCATTTGCATTTGATACCATTGACCATCAGATCCTATTGCAGAGACTGGAATATTTCATTGGCATTAAAGGAACCGCTCTAAGCTGGTTTAAGTCCTATTTATCAGATCGATTTCAGTTTGTACATGTTAACGATGAGTCCTCCATGCACGCCAAAGTTACTCATGGAGTTCCTCAAGGATCTGTCCTTGGACCAATCCTCTTCACTTTATATATGCTTCCTTTAGGCAATATTATCAGGAAACATTCCATAAGCTTTCATTGTTATGCAGATGATAGTTATATCTATCGATCAAGCCAGATGAAACTCATCAGTTAGCTAAACTTCAAATGTGCCTTCAGGATGTTAAAACCTGGATGACCTGTAATTTTCTCATGTTAAACTCAGATAAAACTGAAGTTATTGCTCTGGGGCATAAGCACCTCCGTGACGCATTATCTAAAGATATAGTTTCCCTGGATGGCATCGCCTTGGCCTCCAGCACCACTGTGAGGAATCTTGGAGTTATCTTTGATCAGGACATGTCGTTTAAGTCTCACATTAAGCAAATTTCAAGGACCGCCTTTTTTCACCTACGTAATATTGCGAAAATCAGGCTGCTCGAAAAAGTCCATTAAGACTCTTCAGCTGATCCAGAATGCTGCAGCACGTGTTCTGACAGGAACCAGGAAAAGAGATCACATTTCTCCTGTCCTTAGCTTCTTTGCATTGGCTTCCAGTAAAATCCAGAATAGAATTTAAAATCATTCTTCTTACCTACAAAGCTCTTAATGGTCTGGCACCATCTTATCTTAAAGAGCTCATAGTACCTTACTACCCCACCAGAGCACTGCGCTCCCAGAATGCAGGGTTACTTGTGGTTCCTAGAGTCTCCAAAAGTAGACTAGGAGCCAGAGCGTTCAGCTATCAAGCTCCTCTCCTGTGGAACCAGGTTCCAGTTTGGGTTCAGGAGGCAGACACCATCTCCACATTTAAGAGTAGGCTTAAGACTTTCCTCTTTGATAAAGCTTATAGTTAGGGCTGGGGTGAGGTGACTCCTGAACCATCCCTTAGTTATGCTGCTATAGGCCTAGACTGCCGGGGGATTTCCCATGATGCACTGAGCTCCTCTCTCCTCTACTTTCTCTCCCTCTGTATGCAACCTTATCCCATTATTGCATGTTACTAACACAACTTCTCCCCTTTCTGGTAGTCTTGTGCTTTCTCGTCTCTCTCCTCTCTCCTATCACTTCCTGCAGGTTTTCTGGCTCTGGAGCTGTGGAGTCTGGATCTGTGGCTGCGGGTCACCTGCTGCCCCTGTGTTCCTGCACGACACCCTCTACTGCAACGACTATTGTTGCTAGTCTTATTGTTATTATTGTTATTATAATCATTAACACTACGATGGTTACCATCCAACACTATTATAAATATCTGTACCATTTTTCATTCAGTCTATAGCAACATTACCTTTTACTGTCTGTACCTCTGTGTGTATATTGTGTAGGCTGCCTCCCTCCCCTCTCTCTCTCCCTCTCTCTCTCTCTCTCTCTCTCTCTCTCCTTCACCCCAACCGGTCGAGGCAGATGGCCGCCCACCCTGAGCCATGGTTCTGCTCGAGGTTTCTGCCTCTTAAAAGGAAGTTTTTCCTTGCCTCTGTCGCCTAGTGCTTGCTCTTGGTGGGAACTGTTGGGCTTCTGTAAATAACATCGCAGAGTATGGTCTAGACCTGCTCTTTTATGAAAAGCGCTGTGAGATAACTGTTGTTGTGATTTGGCGCTATATAAATAAAATAAAATTGAATTGAATTG